TGTGAGTATTGTCTGTGAGTTCTTTGTGGCCATTGCAATGAATTATCAAACCCAGCAGAGAAGTAGTGAGTGCCATGGGAGGGATGGTTGATGTCAGAATTGGTAAAAAGGTTGAAGGGTAGTGGCATGTTTGACCTCTGCCTCATAGGAATCAGGCTTGGGCTGTTGATGTTGTCCTGGACCTTCCTTCTCCTTGGCAAAGTTAAAGGAGGTCAGATGTTGCCCCCATACCCTTTCTGCAAGAACATAGCAAGAAATGTAGATATTTTATGGGAAATATTATATAAAATCCATGGCAATCCTGGAAACTCTTAATGAAATGTGTGATTGTCTTAAAAAATTGTGGACAGCCAAAATGAACTCAGAGAAAAAGAATGAAGCCTGCAATGGAAGAAATGGAAATTTTCCAGAGAACTTTTCCCCTAAACTATGCATGGTCCACATTTTTCACCTGTGACTTTTTTTTTTTTTATTTCTTATGCATTTAAAGTATTTCTAAACATAGAAAATGTTAGCAATGTTTCTATAGCATTTTCAAGATGGTAATATAGCACCAGAAAAAGAAAATCTCCAAGCGTCAGTATCTGAAAAGGAACCCACAAACCATTCTTCTTATGAAATAAGTTTTAAAAGTTTAGAAAAAAACTGCAAATTAAGTCTAGTAATATGTTAAAAATACCAAATTGAGTTTTTCTAAGGATTGGATCAATGTGAAGAAATTTCTTAATACACTAAATGGTAAAAACTAGTGAACATATGAATAAACTCACTGCCATCGAGTCAATCCCTACTCATAGCGACCCCTCCTTGGGTTTCCGAGGCAGTATCACTATGGAAGTAGATTTCCCAATCTTCCTTGTGAATACATACTGAAAATGCAATTGATAAAATGTAGCATCAATTATTGATAAAAATGATTTTTAGCAAACTAGAAAGAAAAATATGCTTTAATCACATGAACCTTTACATTTAACAGTGACTCTCCAGACTCCAAAGGAGCTCAGGTGGCCCAGTGCCTAAGGCATCTGACTGCTAACCATAAGGATGGCGGTTCAAACCCACGAGCTACTTCGCAGAAGGAAGACTGGGAAATCTACTTCCATAAAGATTTACCACCTCACAAACCCAAAGGGCATTGCTATGAGTCAGAATCAACTCAATGGCAGTGAGTTTGTTTTTTTTCCTCCAGACTCCATGGAGCAGAAACATTCCCCTTAGTGTAAGGATGAAGGCAAACAAAACTAAACCCACTGCTATCGCATCCATTCCTATTCACAGAACCCATAGAGGACAGAGTGGAACTGCCCATTGGGTTCATTTACAGAAGCAAAGCCCAAGCCAAACCCACTGCTGTCTAGTAGATTAAAACTCACAGCACCCCTAGAGGACAGAGTAGAACTTCCAAATAGTCTGTCCAAGGCTGTCAGTCTTTATGGAAGCAGAGAGCATTATCTTTATCCTACATTGTGGATTTGGAGCAGCTGGTGGGTTTGAACCTATGACCTTTTGATTAGCAGCCAAATGCCTTAACCACTGGGGCACCAGAGTTCCTTAAGAAAGAGGACCAAGGATCAACATGATGCCCACCATATCTTACCCTGTTCTGAGAGTGTCACTACAGTGAGACAGAATAACAACACTATCAACAACTAGGTAGTACTGTAGAAAATTAGGAGAGAAATTTAAAATTATTATTGTTGCTGTTGTTATGTGCCGTCGAGTCAAATCTGACTCATAGCGACCCCTCCTTGGGTTTCCGAGGCAGTATCACTACAGAAGTAGGATTGCCCAACCTTCCTTCCGAGGAGTGGCTGGTGGGTTTGAACCACCAGCCATCTGGTTAACAGGCAAGTGTCTTAGCCACTATGCTACCAGAGCTCCCAAAATTATTATAGATATGAAATACATTTCAATTCTAGGAAAATGCAGGCAAATAATCACACATAAGATTGAAAGCAGAGGTAATAACTGATGAAGGATGTCTGTGCACCCATAAATTCATGCATACTTGACAACTGTGAACATTTCAACCAGAAAAAAAGGGCAAAGGACCCAATAAACAATTTACAAAGACAAAAATACTAAGGGCCAATCAAGATACAAAATGCTCAACTTTACTGTGAAGCAAAGAATTGCAAATCAAAGCAGTGATTAGATAGTGCTGTACCATTTGCTTTGCCAAAGAATTTTGAAGACCAATAATACCGGTCCAGGATGTGGGTAAGTATTCTGCTCAATTATGTACATTGGCATAATCCTTTTGAAAGGAAATGAACACGTATAAAAACCTTACATTTTTGCATACATTTTGAACTCAAATTATGAATTCTAAGAATTTATCCTAAAGATATTATCAGAAATAAATGAAGAAGTGTTAGGTTCAAGAGAATTTATTAGAGAAATATTTATAAACATAAAAAAGAAGTAGTTACTTAAGTTTAAAAGCTCATGACAGATCCATCAAATGAATGCAATATTTGACAATCATTAAATGATTTTATTGAGGAGCTCTGGTAGCGTAGTGCCTAAGGCACTAGACTGCTAACCAGAAGCCTGACGGTTCAAACCCACCAGTCACTCCTCGGAAGGAAGGTTGGGCAATCTACTTCTGTAGTGGTACTGCCTCGGAAACCCAAGGAGGGGGTTGCTGTGAGTTGGGTCCGACTCGATGGCACATAACAACAACAACAAATGATGTTATTGAGGAGTATCTAATGATGTAGAAGTATATTCATAATAACATAGGGTCCAGTTCAGAGAGAAAGTGATGAAGCTGTGTAATAGTGTGGTTGCAGTTTTGTTTCTAAGGTCCGTGTCTGCAGCCACAGGCACGTGCTCAAAAGAAGATCCAAGCTGAGAAAGGTATGTTCCAAATATTACAAAGTATTACCAGTGTTTATCCCTGCTGGCAGTATTATGGGTAATCTCTGCATTTTCTGTTTGCTTATCGGTGTTTTTTTGGGGAAGACTTCAAGAATTTCTGTAACGAACTTTTATTGTTAGTTATTTATACATTTGCTTTTCTTTCAAAGAGCCCCCACACACTGAGTAGTTACAAGGCAAAGGGAAAGGGAGTCTTCTCAAAGGATGGCTTGCACTGACTGAGTCCACATTCACTGTCTTCAACGCTGGTCACACACATGACCAAGCAGCAGCAAAAGAGACACATTTGTCACTTTTACTAAGTGTTTGGCTGAATCTGTTTTCTGTGTCTGGTTTTTATCAAAAACCATGGCTTTCTTCCTTGAGGTAGATAACCTGCTTTGTGACAATCTCAGTCTCCTCTTGTTGTTGTTATGTGCCATTGAGTCGGATCCGACTCATAGCAACCCCTCCTTGGGTTACCAAGGCGATATCACTACAGAAGTAGATCACCCAACCTTCCTTCTGAGGAGTGGCTGGTGGATTTGAACTGACAGCCTTCTGATTAGCAGTCAAATGCCTTAGGCACTATGCTACCAGAGCTCTTCAGTCTCCACTAGCACTGACTTCTTCCCACGATGACTTTATCCAGTCGATGGTTTCGCGAGATGGTCTCATCCAGGCTGATGTTTCCTTTTTCAGAGATTACTTCAGTGAGCTCTCCCTTGCAGGGAATTTCCATTTCATCTAGTGGTGAAATTGCTGGACTCACTGGGCTAACTTTGGGTGACTCTCCTTCTTAGAGAAAACCAGCCACGGGACGAGGCTTTTCATTCCTTATCCTAATCCTCAGAGCCTCTGAGGTTTGGGTGCCATTGCA